ACTCACTGCCTCTCTTCTGAGCATTCGATACCAGAATGAGGCAGTATTAGATATTGGAATTAGCGTTTTCTGTCCAAGGGGATTTAGTGGTTTTAGAAGAGAATAAGATTGTTCACAGTTGGAACAGGCTTAGACCAACAATATCCCATTAACATAGCACATAAGGTACAGCCCGTGCGAAAACCCCAGCACTACTCAGATAACAGTAAAACATACAGAAATGGGGGCGGAAACAAAAAGAGCATTGTTCCTGGTTGTGGGACAGGTCTGGCATTCCACACAGGACCTGCTGTTGATAGAAAACTGCCGGAAGCTTTCTGAGGTTCATTCAAGGCCCCCTGCCAGAGCTGGTGATGTAAAAGGTAGAGTTGTAACAAAACTTCTCATTCTTTTGGGTTGTAATGTGTGGTATTAACATGGAATATCTTTAGAGGCCTGGCAGCCCTTTTCTTCAAGATGTGGGTTTAAGAAGTCGTTTGGTTTTACTTTTGCCAGTGCAATTCTCTTGACATCTTAAATGGAACAACAAATATGGAAACTTTAGGGCAGCGGGAGGAGAGGTTGATGATAAACATCTCAAAAATGCCTTCTCAACGGTACTCGGCCATCATTTGAAGTTGTGCCTTCTCCTTTTCTCGCGAACCATTTCTTTCATATGCAGACCAGAAAGAGCCCCAGTTTACTTTGGGACAACATTTGACTGGCTGTGTGGGTGGCCTTCAGGTTTGACACAGAGGGAGTTTGGAGGCCTGACTTTCAGTGTATTGTTAACCCAATGATGAAGGGGATGAGCGCTGGTGTGAGGGGCCTCAATATAAACCTCACTGTGCCTCTCACTGGCTGTGTGACCTTGGGAAAGTCACTTAACCTCCCCAAAGCAGCTGCAAAATGTTGAGGGGTGAAAAGTAAAGAGTGTGGGTGCTCTGTACTAGATTTTCAAATACTGTGTCTTAGTTCATTCGGGCTGCTATAGCAAAATACCACAGACTGGGGCGCTTATAAACAACAGATGTTTATTGCTCACAGCTCTGGAGGCTGGAAGTCTGAGAGCAGGGTGCCCTCATGGTCAGATTCTATGTCTGGTGAGAGCCGGCTTCCCGACTTATAAATGACCACCTTCTCACTGTGTCCTCACTTGGTGGAAGGGGCGAGGGCCTCTCTGGGGGTCTCTTATAAGGGCACTGATCCCATTCCTGAGGACTTCTGCCTCATGACCTGATCCCCTCCTAAAGACCCCACCTCCTGATACCATCACACTGGCATTAGGATTTCAGCATGTGAATTGGGGGGGTAGGGGGAGGGGTGACGCGGGCATAAACATCCAGATCATATAGCACACTGCATAAGGACTTATGTCTTTGTTAGTGCCACCTTTTGTTGAGCAGTTATCAATTTTCTATCATTTTATTTAAGATGTATAACCACTGTCTTGGGGCTGTTATTTAAAATTTTTAAAAGAAAAACACAGTGCTTTGGCAGTCTCAGATGTTATGATTTTCCTTATGAAATGGAATATATGGATATTTTACAAAATACCACATCATTGAGCACATCCTCTGAATTTGACCAAAGTTCTAGAGGGAATTTGAAAAGAGGGAGAAAACTCCCGAATGAATTTTACAGACTTGAAGGAAGAGGTTTCCTGTCCTTTGAAGTTTTTGTGAGATGAAAATCTGTCATATTTGAAAAATGGAAGGGGTTGGAATTCTGTGAAGCATTGCTTGCCTGTATAACAGCCTGTAGACCCTACCTTGGCTGCTTTGAGCTGAGGTACACCTGTGGTATCAAGGGGCATCTCTGCACCATTGAGCCAGTGCAGACTTGAGAATTGGGAGATGTGGGTTTGAATCCCGGCTCTGCCAGATCTTACCGTGTCATCTTGGGCCGCTTAGTTAATCTCTCTGAGCCTCAATGTTTTCATTATAAAATCTGAGGTTATGCTTATCTCATAAAGCTGTTGAGGGGATTAAATGAGGTGACAAATGTAAAGCACGCAGTGAGACTGTCACCTAGTAGGTGCTTGATACATTGAACTACTTTAATATGCCATTTGCATAATGTAATCAAATAATATATACTATGTAAAAATATGTTTATATAAGATTATACTTATATCATATATAGTATTCTTTTTTTATATAATAAAATGTTCTGCCATAATGTACTCATATAACTATTTTTAAATAATAGTATTTCAGAGATTCCTAGAACTTTGAGATCATATTTTCTAATAGTTTTCACATTTTTTTAACAGTGGAATCTTTTCCCCTTTCCTTCTCCGCAAACATTTTTTATGGAACCAGAGTAGCTGAGGCAGAGCAAACACCCCCGTGCTTGCTGAAGCAGGGTTGAGGGTCCCTGAGCCCTACACAGGCTCTTCCTTTAGCTACTCCTGCTCACGACGCTGGGACTCCCTCGGAACAGAGTGAAAACAGCTGCTCTAGGCCAGTGTTCATTCTTCTTCAGGGTCTCAGGGGCACTTGTGTAGAGTTATGGCCACAGCCCACGTCTGTGGCCTTGAAGTTGAACTTCTCCTAGGCACTCTGCAGTGTCCGCCTATAGGATGAATTATGGCTGCTGATCTCTCTCCCTGATGGGAATTGGAGCCTGTTTTCCTCTGTGCGGCAGCCGTTCCCAGCATAGAACCTGGTGCCTTGAGAGAATGCTGGCTCCATCTAGGGTATCCTGGTGGCCACACTTAGGCTTTATAGCTGCCAAAAGCCATAAGGAGATCAATCACAGCAATTAGGTACAAAGCAGGGGCTGCCATGGTTAGCGTCCTTCAGTGCAGCCTGAACAGTGGGGATATGCCTATACGTTTGTGGCTATTTGACGAGCATTGGATTTTAAGCAATTGAAACAATTTTGTTTAACGCAGTAGAGTTTCATTCTGGCGGAGTCAGTAGATTTGGTTAGCAGAGGCACTGGTCTTTGACTGTTACAGAAAAATCAGACTTTCTGGCCTCAGGTTTTCTGTCTGGAAACGATGTGACCCTTTTCTATAGACTTCGTCAGCTTACTTGGGTTGTGGCTTGGGACGTTAAATGAGATGTACTGGAAAGCCTTTTATCAGAAGATGAATTCAAGAAGACATTATTTGTAAATGAGTCTCGATTTTCTGGGCAAGAAAAGTCAGGCCCCTTCCTTGGCAGGTGGGTGGCCTTTTATTTCTGCTTTGCGTTGGAGACTCTCGGTTCTGCATAGAATAGCTAAAATGGAAAAACATAGTGCCGGGCCATGTTGGGATTTAGGGGTGTCACCATCTAATGTGTGGGGTCCCATGGTGCGCCTACATCCACTTTCCATGGAAGAGGACTTGGGACCAGTTTTCATACATATTTAATTTGTAGCTGGTGGCAGTCACAGCACTGCCCCGAGCCCTGGAGTCCTATTCCAAAGGGAGGGGATGGTTTCCTGCTTGTTCTGTTTGTCCTCTCATTCCAAGGGCGCCCGACAGCTCGGATCAGCTCCGGTGCTGAGTTCTGCCGTGAGTTGTGACATATGTGGCCAGGAATTTGTTAATGATAATAAAATACTGGAGTTGATGAATTATTTACTTTTTCTCCCATGAGTAAGTAGATTCAGCATCATCCTGATAATAATAATATACCACAAACATTACATGCCAGGCCTATGCCAGGTAAGACCTTTCCTTACGTTCTCTCTTAAGTGGGAGAAACATTTTGAGTATCCCCATGTGAGACATCAGGAAACTGAGGTTTAAAGAGGTGAAGAGACTTGTCCAGGGTGCCATGATAGAGCTGGAGTGTCACTTGTATTCACCAGCGTGCCAGGATGCTTTTGTGAGTGGAAAATAAGGGAGTTCGGGCTGGCCGTTAAGGATACAGCCAGATTTTCAGTTAACATGGGGGCAACACTTCAGAACCGAAGGCTGTTAGTGGAGCTGGAAGATGAAACGCAAGTTAATGGCGTTCCACAGGAGGAGTCCATTCCATTCCTGGAGCAAAGTATGTCAGGTTCGTTAGCCCTGAGGGCTTCTAGATAAAGACTCAAGATTGAGGTGTGGAAGACGTGATAAAGGACACGCTACAGGACACTGCCTGCTCTGTGAAGGCCGGAGGCACGCCTGGTCTTAGTCAGCGCTCTGCTTCTCCTCACCAGAAGCAGGCCTTGTGCACATGTACAGGGCGGGCGGGCTGGAAGGAGGAGGGGGGAAGGAAGGGGGGAGGGAGGAAGGGAGGAAGGAAAGGTGAAGCGATGTTTGGACCGAAGGAAAGAATTTCAGGAGATGAGTAGTAGTAGCAAGAGAGTGATCGATTCGAACCAGAGTGAGATTAAAGAAAGAGATACATAGAGGAGCCATAAGAGCAGCGGTTCTCAACCTGTGGGTCACGCCCCCTTTGGGGGTCGAACGACCCTTTCACAGGGGCCGCAGGGTACTCGTATGTGGGCGTATCTGCATGTGGGCCTGGAGACAGATAGAGGAGCGGTGTCTCGGTTCCTAAGACCATCGAAAATAGGTGTTTTCCAGTGGTCTTAGGTGACCCCTGTGAAAGGTTGAGAACCGCTGCATAAGAGTTTCCAACTCCGCATGAGGCACCATTATTGAAAGTTCACGACTTTTTGCTATTTCCCTTGTTCTCCTTGTTCACAGAACGCATTCGTATGTTCATTTAGTGGACATTTTTGACCACTAATGCAGTGTTGGGGATAAATGAATAAGACATGGTCCTCCTCTCAGAGAGGGGAGTTTATAAAGTCCCAGGCACTTACTCAAGCTGGTGAGGACATGGACTTCTGACTCCAAGGTCCTCACCGGCATTGGATGGTCCTGGAGCAAAGACAATCATCCAGCAGCCGAGCCTCATCTCCTGTGTTTGCAACAACACGGAGGCTTCTATGGGGCCCTTACTTCCTTTGCCAAAACGTTGCTTTTAACTGTTTCCCACCTTTCTATGAAGCTTTTGAGTTTTTTGTTATGTTTAAATGGAATTTTATAATCTCGCTTGGACTGACTCTCATTTTTCTTTTCTGACCAGGATTGATCGTAAGATGTCAAATGCTCATACCAACTACAAACTGGACGAGGCACAGGCTATAATGAACGAGCTCCGGACCATCAAGAAAGCCATTTGTACAGGCGAGAAGGAGAGGCGGGACCTGATGCAAGTAAGGGCCGGTGCTGTTCAGGTCCATGTCCATCCGTGAGCCTGCTCGTCTCTCCTCTTTTATTTAAAATAAAAAAATACATATATTTACTATATATTCTACAGTTATTCTATACACAATTCACGTATATTTTTAAAGATATACATGTATATATGTTATATATGTGTATATATTATACCTTTCGTGTGTGTGTATATTTATATATGTAAATATTGTAAAACATGCCTGTTAAGTTTCCTAGGGCTGCCATAACAAAGCACCACGAACCAGATGGCTTCGAACAGCAGAATCGTTCTCTCAGAGTCTAGAGGGCAGGGGTCTGAAATCAGGTGTGGGCAGGGCCTATGGGAGGATCCTTCCTACCTCTTCTGGCTTCTGGTGGTGGCTGGCAATCCTTGGCATTCCTTGGCTGGTAGCGGCATCACTCCAGTCTCTGCCTTGGTTGTCACATGGTGTTCTCCCTGTGTGTCTCTGTGTCTACATTTTCTCTTCTAAGGATACCAGTCATTGGATTAGAACCCAGTCTACTCCAGCCCGACCTCGTCTTAACTTGAGTCCATCTGCAAAGACCCTATTTGCAAATAAGCTCAAATTCACGGGCTGGGGGTTAGGGCTTGAACGCATCATTTTTGAGGACACAATTCAAGCCCCAGCAATGGGTGATGCAGTCATACTGTTCAGTAGTCAAAGTAATTGGAAAAGTCTATGATAAGAAGCCTTGCTATCTCCCCATTCTCTCACCGCCCAGAACTACTTTGATTAGCTTCTTGTGTACCTTTCCAGTATTGGTGCAGACACATGACTGAGCATGCTCAGCTGCCCTCACAGAGTCCTAGGACTGTACCTGCTGCTCTGCACCAGCTTCCCCACATGACAATCGGACCAGATCAGACTGGATCAGAGCCCGTAACTTCTTCCACATCTGTATACAAACCTTCTTCATTCCTTCACATGGCTGTGTCGTATTCTACCATGTGGATAGACTTAGCTATGTGGCGGGATCATCGTAGCTTTTTATTGCTTTATGTTTTCACCCCTTCAACTCCTGTAGTTTCTGCCGTTTTTAGAAAAAGCTGACTTTTTGCAAATGGATGCATGCTTATCTTTTTGCTCAGCACTGAAATGCAGTCAGTTGTTCCTGTCATGACTTTTATTTTTTGCTAACATACTGAGTGAGCCCTAGCGCCTGGTAGGCATTTGTCTGATTCTGCAGAATGTAAGACAGAGAAGGACATGGGAAGCCAGCTGAGACTCACAGGGCAGATGAAGCATGTACACACAGAGCTGCCTTGCAGGGCATTGCTTCCTAAGGTCAAGGACGGGAGAGGATTGCGGAGTATCCCTATGGTGCTCGTTACATTGCAGATGATTGGGCCCTTCCCCAGACCTACTGGATTGGAATCTCTGCAGGTGGGACCCAGAAATCTGTCCTTTTAGATGCTCTCTCCAGGCCATGAAAGGTAAAAGGTCAGTAGTTAGATTTTTCTCTGAGCACTGCTAGCAGGAACAGCTGCCATTCACTGAGACGTCTGCATGTGGCATTGCAGAGGTGCTCTGTGGACGTCATCGCAGGCCTGAGCCAGGCAATGCTTCACTCCGGAGGCCTGGAGGCCTTGCCCCAGGAGCTGGAGCTACCGCCCCATCCTGGCCTTCCCTAATTTGCATAGCTGGGCCAAGCCACCTAGTTGCCTCAATTGGGTTCCCCACTATGGTGGCTGGAGATAGAATTTCTTGAAGAAGCTTCAGATCCCGACATCTTCTTTGAGAAGCTCCAGGGAGAGGCATGGGCCGTGTCCTCTTCTAGTGAAATCAGCTAAGTGGCTTTGTCTTTCTCACACAAGCTTGCCAACACTGGCCCATTCCTGGCCTTTACGTGAGGCGCGCTGCGCCTGGGCATTCTGGTGTCTGCTGAAGCGGTCTTTAGAAAGCATTTTCAAAATTGTGGAAAATCTGATCTGTCTTTACCTTTCACCCAAAGGGGTTCTGTGTGCCAGAAACATACTAACTCTAATTTTTAGCAAACTGACGTCCATGTGAGATGACTGTTGTCCATGTGGAATTATCATTGAAAAATCAGGTTATAAAGATACGTCAGCATTGTCTGGGAGCTGTTTTCAGCTTCTGTGTGGTATATCAAGATCCCTAGGTAGCATCCATCTCTGTTGGACTCATGTATTGATAGAACGTTTGGGATGCGAATGCCAACCTGGGACCGGAGTGACATGACCACTTTTAGAGGGAGAGAGGCATTACTGTCTCTGTTCAAACAGCTTGTTCATTCTATTCCAGAGCCTGGCCAAGCTCACTGACGGCTTCAAGAACAGCTTCTCTCTCACCGACCATCTGCAAGAGTTCCCTCACCACCCAGGCAGTGGTGATTCTTTACCTCAGCAGTTCTGCGACGCTGGGTCTCAAACCGACATCATCGGAGAGGTACGCTCACCAGGGGGAGGGTCCACGTGAGCCGAGAGAAAAGGGCTGCTTTCGTGTTGCCATCACTCATTTGCTTTCATCTTCCACTCTCTCTTCCGAAAAGCTTTGGCTTTTGTGCCATTACGTTTGAAGAAGAAATGCAGTTTCTCACATCCAGCAGTGAAGGTGCAATGGCTTGGGATGCGATTGAATTGCTTCTTGCCTCTAACCTAGTGATTTGGGTTCTTGAAAATGGCTGAATCCTTGTGAGAGTTGCGTTTAGATGTTTTTTGACAGACGTATGACTTTTTAGAGCATGGACCAACTCATTTTTTCTGTAAAGGTCCAGATAGTAAATATTTGAGGACTTGCAGGCCATGCAGCCTCTGCCACAAATGCTCAGCTATGTTATTTTAACGTGAAAGCAGCCATAGGTGATGCATGAACTAATGGGCGGGGCTGTGTCCCAATTAAACTTTATTTGCAAAAACAGATGGTGGGTTGGATTTGGCCATCAGGCCTCAGTTTGCTGACCTCTGGCTTAGATCAGTGATTTCAAAGGCGTTGTGGCTGTGTCACCTTGGGGTTATACTTTGGTGCTATTTCTTGTTCTTTTAAAAGACTGTCGGGAAATTCAATTGAATTAAAATTAATTTTGTTTGGGACTTGGAAGAATTTCATAATGCCCCTTTTGAAGATTAGTGAAACCTTGAGTTAGCTACAAAAATAAAGTTGGCAATCATTTGAAGCAGGATAGTGAATACTTACACACATTACTACTGTAATGTCATTGAGTGAAGTTGATCATTTACTTGTTACACATGGATAAAAACAGTTTTGGATGGCTCCTTTTTCTTTGGGGTTATTTAGTAAGATGAAATAGCAATGGAATGCAGAATGTCCTCCCCAAAATAAAATAAATAAAAAGAAAAAAGGGAAAAACCACTGACAAAAACTCTGGGTTTTAAATAATTAGCTAATATTTTGAAATTTTGGCAAATAGTGCCTCTTTGAGGGGCGTATACTATTAGTAAATAATGACTTCTTATTTGTATGTCCTGGAACAGCCCTATTTTCAGCTTTCCCCTCGTTCTCAAAAGTACGATCAGACATTTTTGACCAGGCATCTTTGGTTTAATGAATATGGTCACCATCTATATAACACACAGAAGAATCTCTTAAGTCAAAAATGTCCAGCATTTTTGCCTAAAGGTTTTGGCAGGAGGGAAGGAAAGAAGTAGAAGACTCGTTGAATTCTGTGTATCATTCATTGCTGCTTAGCATAAGGTTAGAATTAGAATTTACAGACTGTTGCTGGTTTGAGAGAAACAGGTTCGGTCCAAGGTTCTCAAATGACTTAGGTAAGACTTTCCAAAAATGTCAGGGTGAGAGTGGCTGGTGATGCTGTTGTAATAACTGCAGCAGTGAACTATCACTGTTTATGAGTTTACTGGGGCTGGCCTGGTTTGGCAGCTTCATGGCTATTATCTCGATTTAAGTGGTTTCCATCCCTTTGTGACCCATGAGGGGATGGAGCTGCAGGTTACCTAAGGTCGGGTAGTCAGGCAGAGGCAGGTCTGACTTTGAATCAACATCTCTAATCCCTAAACCCCTGTGCTTTCTACTACATCATGTTGTTATAGAAAAATACAGTTGACCCTTGAACAAAGCGGGTTTGAACCTCAGGTCCATTTATATGATGCGTATCGATAAATTCATCACTAATCTTTCAAGTAGAATATTTTAAAATATTTGTTGACATGAGATTATTTTTAAAAATAAAGGCTTAATGGCCATAATACAGAAAGTGCCAAAAAAATGTATGCACATTTTAAGAAAGGAAAGCTGTATTAAAATGGTAATACTCTATGTATACCGATAAGAAAAGATGAATACAAGTCGCGTGCATACATTTTTTGGCTCCCCCCCCCCCCCTATATGTCTAGTAAGGTCAGGTCTACACATGGAGCCAATTTATTGAAACTAGAGTCATATATTTCCAGGAATGAAGGAAGAAGTAACCAAGGTGAGCTAGACTTACCTCCCATATAGGTCCTTTTTTTCTTTTGTTTAGGAATTTGTTGACTTCAGTGTAATTGATATGAAAATATTTAAGTACAAGTAGTGATCACAGCGCAGCATCGTATTTCAGTTCTAACTCCTAAGACGTGATGCACCCCCACCCCGGGCTCTCCTTCCTTTTCCTTCCGTTCTTTAACCGGTTAAGGCCATGTCACATTCGAAGGAGTCCTGTAGCCCATAACTCACACAGCTAGTCCATTGTCTTCAGATTTTGTGACTTCCTAGAGCATCATTATTTTGTATCTATTGAGGAAGGAGACAATATGCTGCACAAAATGGGATGAATTTTTTTTGCCTTTGTATCAACTTTCACTAAGTAATTCCCCATTTCTTTTAAAGCTTAATTCGTTGTTGTTTGGAATTACACATAAATGAATACACTTCCACTGATAAAAAATAAATTCACCAGTGCTGGGAAAGCAAAAGTCTTCCCAGCCCCACTCCCAACCCCACTGATCAGAGGTGGCCACTGAGTGTTATTTGGTGTGTTTCCTTCCAGACCTTTGAAAAATGGAAGTTGAAAGACAAATGAAAATATTCTTCATTGTTGCTGGAAGCTTAAATGAGTTTTCTATTTTGAAAGTATGTTTTTAACATGTTTTCCTTCTTTTTTTCCTCCTGTTTTCGAAAGTTTGTCTTTGACGATAAAACAAGACTTGTAGACCGAGTCAGACTTAATTGGCAGTACGAGGAAGCCAGGAAGAGGTAAGAAGCTCTCTTTTCAAATCTCGCCTTCTGCTTATTTCCTTTCTCCTGTGGAAAGAGGTTTTTCGAAGTTCTGAGGTGTGATTGTCCGTTTCTTACTGGAGAGCAGTTTCTGATAGAATACAAAGTGAAGGATCTTCACTTATGTGTAGCTTCTTACTACATTGATAACATTTCACATGCATTTAAAATGCTGGCATTCTCAATATTGCAGATAGTTATAAAGACATGATTTAATAACAATAGAGACTTTTTCAGCTTTCCTTATTCTCTCAGGTAGTTGGGATCTCCATCCTACCTCCCTCTCTCCTCCTTCCTGTTTCTCCTGCCTCCTTTCATCTCCACTCCGTCCCTCCCTTTCGTCTGAGCATCAGTCCCTCAGAACAGCTTAAGCAAAACTTTTATCTTTTATGTATGTGGCTTCTAACTCCATAGGTTAATGGACAAAGCTGTGTATCTTGGTTTAAAAGACAGTTTAATAAGGATCAGGTCACCAGGTGATAGCGGTACCTAATCTAGTTCATTTTGACGGAGAGAATTAAAGGGCAGTCATTTCTCTTAACTTGTGTTGTATGTCAATTATCTGCCTTCGGAAAATCGAGACTTGACCTTGTTTGTGCATTTTCCAGTTTGTCTTTCCCTCTCTCCACCCCTTCCACCCGGTTTTAACCATAGGCCATGGGCAAAACCGAGAGGCATGTGGAGTCCTCACAGGCATGTGGTATTTTGAACTTGTCACGTTTCTCATCATGTGTGCAGAGCCCGTTTTTTTTAATATTCTGCCCCTGCCTTAGCTTTCACGTCCTCTTTTTAGAGACTTTCTCTCTTTTTTGCCTCTGGAAAGGGTCTTAAAACCAAACCATTTCCAAAGACATGCTTCGGAAAGCTAGGAAGCATACCTTCTTAAGGGTTCATTACTTACATAGGGACTATTATCTCGGGGGGTGGGTGGGGGAGAAGGAGTGGAATGCCAAGTGGGGTGAGGAGATCCTTTCTGGAAGCTCAGTAGTTGGGCCTGCTCATACACTGTGTCATTCATGGATGTCTGGAAATCCACTTGCTTGCCTTTTAAGCAAATGTAAAAATAGCAACAAAAGCACATCATCTGACTCCCTCCTGGAGGGCCCGCTGGAACTGACACAGGCCTTTGTTTACCCAGGCATTTCTACCCAGTGCTTGCTGGCTTTTCCCGATGTATTCATTCGTGGTGGGCTTTACAGTTCCACATGGCCCGTGGCCAAGTCCATTCAGCCACGCTGCTTATCTCCAGGCTCAGATTCTCCATCTAGCGCATTCCTTCTCCTGAGCTGGCTGGGGTTTGTCAGGGCCCTTGTCCCTGCTGGGTATTCCTCTGCTCGCTCTCACATGTTTCTACTGGAACTGCACAATGTGGGTGCTGGAATTTGCTGTGTTGTATAAAACGCAGAAACTGGATGGCTGCTACACTTAGGAGCATAATTGGTACGTGTTTTGCTGTGACATTTACCAAACCTAGCAAGTGCTTTCTTTGTTTTCTGGAGATGGTATCGGTACACAGTGAGTAATCTGTTAAATATTGAGATAATTCATTTGGGCAAAAAGTCGAGTATGTAAGAAAATTCTTCAGAGGAGGACTCTGCACTTCATCAGTGTCTTTTAAATGACATTAGTATTTCAAGATTGCCAGAGCCGTGGTGGGAAACACACTGTAGCTATGGAGGACAGCTCATCTGTGTGGGTGACCCCGATGGCTTCGTCCACACAGAGCAGCTGCTGGGAGATGGGAAGACTGGACTTCTACTCAGCACCTGCCTCGTTCCAGGTGTTTTGAAGAAATTGTGTGGTTTATGTGCTGGGCTCACACATGGTCTTTAAGCTATTTGGGAGATAAACTCCTTCACAGCTAACAGAAATATGTGAGGAGACCCATGGTTCTGCCTGGGAGTGGGGATACCCCCAGGGCCTGCCAGGGCGTGTGTGTGTGTGTGTGTGTGTGTGT